TGCGTACTACAAAGGTAATCATTGGAGTTTGTTATAGGCCTCCCAGTGTTAATAAGGAGGTGGAGACTCAGAACGTGGTTATACTTGGACAGAGGGGTGGCGGTGAACGTGGTTATACTTGGACAGAGGGGTGGCGGTGAACATGGCGGTGGACGTGGTTATACTTGGACAGAGGGGTGGCGGTGGACGTGGTTATACTTGGACAGAGGGGTGGCGGTGGATGTGGTTATACTTGGACAGAGGGGTGGCTGTGGACGTGGTATACTTGGATTTTGCAAAAGCGTTTGACACAGTTCCCCACACATGGATAATGTGTAAGGTAAAGTCTACGGGCTTGGAAAAATCCATATATAAATGGATAGAAAACTGGCTAAAAGATTGCATTCAGAGAGTAGTGGTTAATGATTCATACTCTGAACGGTCTAGGGTCATCAGTGGTGTACCCCAAGGTTCAGTGTTGGGACCCTTACTTTTTAATATATTTATAAACAATATAGGGTCTGAGATTACAAATCCCATTTCAGTCTTTGCAGATGACACCAAGCTGTGTAGTGGAATAACGTCCTTACAAGATGTCTTCAGCTTACAAGCTGACCTCAATGCACTGTGTAATTGGGCAACTATGTGGCAAATGAGGTTTAATGTTGATAAATATAAGGTTCTGCACTTGGTGGCTAAGAATATGCATGCATCATATATACTAGGGGGGGTACAACTGGGGGAATCAATGGTGGAGAAGGATCTGGGAGTTCTGGTAGATCACAAGCTTAATAATGGCATGCAATGCCAAGCTGCGATTTCTAAAGCGAGCAAAATCCTCTCTTGTATTAAAAGAGGTATAGACTCCAGAGGGAGATATCATATTACCCCGGTACAAATCATTAGCAATACACCTCATCTGGAATATGCAGTTCAGTTTTGGGCACCAATTCACAAAAAGAACATTAGGGAACTGGAGAAAGTACAGAGAAGGGCAACCAAACTGATAAGAGGCATGGAGGAGCTCAGCTATGAGGAAAGATTAGAGGAACTGAATGTATTCTCTCATGAGAAGAGGAGATTAAGGGGGGATATGATCAACATGTATAAATACATCAGTGGTTCATATAGTGAATTAGGTGTAGAGTTATTCACCCTGAGGTCATCACAGAGGACAAGGGGGCACTCTTTACGCCTGGAGGAAAAGAAATGTTATCTCCAAATATGGAAAGATTTCTTCACAGTGAGAGCTGTGAGAATGCGGAATAGATTCCCTCAAGAGTTGGTTCTGGGCAGCTCAGTTAAGTGCTTTAAAAAAAGGCCTGGATTGTTTCTTGGATACACAGAATATAACTGGATACTAAGATTTATAGGTAAAGTTGATCCAGGGAATATCAGATTGCCTCTCGGGGGGTCAGGAAGGCATTTCTTCCCCTGCAGGAGCAAATTGGATCATGTTTTGCTGGTTTTTTTGCCTTCCTCTGGATCAACTGTGCGTGTAGGATAATAACTTTCTTTTTTTTTTTAATGGTTGAACTGGATGGACATTTGTCTTTTTTCAGCCAGACTAACTAAGTAACTATGGGGACCTAGGACGGGAGGATTTATCCCCCATACAGGTCTGCAAAGCCTCCGGGCTCAAGGACCCAGAACAGAACACATTAAAGTGGACTTAAACTCTCTTAATCAATATTACCAAATTTTTAATCTTTATGCTGCTAGCATTAGCAAATAGATAGGACAGTATATTATATAATTACTTGTTTTAAAAAATGTTAACATTTCGACCGTTGCTTCCTGGTTTCCTGCCTAGGCCAAAATGATGTCATACATCCCAGGAGTCTTCATGGACTTTTTTTTACTGTCATCTGGAAGAGGGGCTTTTTGAACTAAGCACCCACTCCTGCCTCCATGCCTGAGCCAAGGGCAGATGGATTCCAGGAAGTAAATGCTACATGAATCATCTGCCCTTGTTTAAGTTGTCTGTGGCTAAAAAATGCTAGGGGGTGTTTTTCATAGTGATTTCTCAACAAAATAAAGCATGGAGACATAGATGGGTGAGTGATTTTAAAATGAAATTAATTAATTAGTTAATGTTTAAAGGATTCATTTTCATGAATCAATTAATTAATAATTAATTAGTTAATTTTCAGTTTGTGGGGTTCAGATACAGTTGAATTCCATTTTAACATCTGAGAAAACAACAACGTTTTTTTCCTCCATAGCAGACACAAACCCTGGAGGCCATCAGCATGTGTAGGTGACACATATACTGTACACAATTCTGCTAGCAAGTGTATATGTACTAAGAAAGAAAAAACTAAACACTTGCATTAAAGCACAATAAATAATTAAACAAATTGGAGCAGCTAGCACGATTTGCAGGCAACAAATCAAAACTATAAAAGAAGACTGCAAAACCATAAAAGAGAACAGTTAAACCACACTAAAATAGGTTAAAAGCATGCATACACCAATGAGAATCCTAGCTAGATTATTAACATTCTTCATAGAAAAAATAAGTGACAAGTGGTATACATTCACAGTCCTCATAGAATACAGTAGCTAGGTGGTGAGTGATGAAAAACAAACCGGAAGAGTTCTCCATTACCACTAATAAGAAAAAGCGGTTAGAAAATGCAGTTAAACCTAATGGTTACAGCCAGGCTCCAGGTAGATTCAATTCTCCGATTCACATAACTTGCTCCACTCACCCAAGATCGATGCTCCACTAAACAATAGCATCACTCCCTAGCATACAGGTCATAGAGAAAGCAGAACCATCTCAGTCCATTTAAATTCAAAAACACCCTTTTATTTAAAGTATTGCACTTACATAGACCCATAAAAAACAGCATATCAGTAGAACGTTGTTCTAACAAGTTGGCCGCGGTCCATTCTGGTGCATGATGATGTCACATGTTGTGGCTCCACCCATTGCGTTTTGTCATCATAACACGTCATCAGGCTGGTAAGGGGCTATGATCTGGAGGACTCTTCTGGCTTGGTTTACATCACTCACCACCTACTGTCTTCTATGAGGACTGTGTATGTATACCACATGTCACTTATTGTCTTCTATGAGGGCTGTTAATGGTCTAGCTAAGATCCTTTTTGGTGTATGCATGCTTTATCCTATTGTGGTGTGGGTTTAACTGTAGTATATATATACTGTATATATTGTATATACAGTAGGTATGTCTCTGTGAGACTGGGTGACTTTGTAGCAAGTGACAACGTAACACTCTGGAGTGAGCAAATTGAACAGTTTGAAGTTCTGCTCTTCTGGGTCCCCTTATCATGGCTATAAGACGGATTACAATTAACAAGGCACTCCATTAATTCAGAATTGATGGGTGTGCCTTGCCTGTTACAAAGATATCTCTAATAAATGTTCTCAGTTCATCCCATTTCCAGATTTTTCCAATTATTTGCTTTGCAACATGTTTCTGTTCAGACATTATGTCATACATCAGACATTGTATCTAGAGTAGCATTATGGTAGCATTGTTTATGGAAGGAAAGTAGTGATAGTAAGAATGCAGGGTTTGATCTTCTAGAAAACACTATCTACTGTTCCTACAGATAAATACAAGTATATCAGCCATGCAAGTGTGTAATAAGAGGAAGTGATGTTACTGGGAGCAAAGTGGCTATTTTTCCAACAAAAAAAATCCTGTCTAGATGTTTTTTGACATGAATGACAATCACGCGACTATGGGGTGAGGCAGAAAACTGCCAACCATCTGATCCTAGGAGGAATGTCAGTTAGACAGGTTAAGAAGTCAATGGTGTCTGCATGAACTATTCTCTGACTCCATAAAAAATAGATGTGAGCACCCTTCAGCTTACGGTTCAGGGGTGAGAGGTCACCTGAACTCTGACAATTCCTGCCCTGTCAACTGCCATACCTATGTTCCAGCTCCTGAGAGTGCATAACAGGTTTACTTAATAGAAACCATAGAGAACTGTAAACATGCACAGGGATCTAATAGTTTATGTACTCTCAGAAGCTTACAAACTTTTTATGGTTGAACTGGATAGACTTTTGTTTTTTTCAGCCAGACTAACTATGTAACACAATGGGAGTTATTTACTAAAATTGCATGGTGCAAAATCTGGGGCAGCTCTGCTTCCAGGTTTTATTGTCAAAGCTTAATTGAACAAGCTGAAGTTAGAAGCTGATTGGCTACCAAGCACAGCTGCACCAGATTCTGAGTGCTCCAATTTTAGTAAATCTCCCCCAATGTGAGGTCAGGCAGCTGACAGAGCAGCAACTATTATCCGTCAGGTGAGTTCTAATGCCCCAATTTTCAAGTTGAAGAGTCAGCCTCAGACAAAATGAATAAAGCTAAATAAGAGGGCAAGTAGAAAACCTTTGATGGTTCTGTAGCAGAATTCTTGTAAAATTCAGGTTCTTGCAGTTGTTTTCCTTTAACCTCCCTAGCGGTCTGATTATGTCCATATTTCTGTGCTCAAAGCGGTACATTTTTTTGCATGGAAATATGTATTTTTTTTTTTGTAGGCCTATAATTTTTAGGAATAACTCACTGAAATCTGACCGAACAAGAGTCTTGTAAACATCACGGGTATGTTAAAATTTGAAACACAAAATCATAAATTATAATTTAATAAATAATCATAAAAAAATAATAATATAATAATAAATGTAATTAAATAATAGAATCAAACAAAAAACACTGAAATTTGAAATATAGCGCCAAGTTCGCACATCACTGAGCAAAGTTGCAAAATCGTTTTCAGTGTCTGATGATGAATTTCCCCACAAATCATTATCACTCAATTCTGCAAGTGGTTCTAATTTACTATCTCTGTTCTCTAGTTGGTCTAAAACCGATTTTGACCTAAAGGGACGCTTTTTGGACGCCATGGACGTTTCTCAGTTTCCAGGCAGAAAGAACAGTAAAAATGCAGGCAGGGCGCCGGACAAAGCACTCGGGACAAAATGTATGTGAAATGGTTTGATACAGTAATGTTTTACTATGTGATTTTAGTGAATGTCACATTTACAACTTTCAAATTTCCCACCAGTTCCGTCCCCCATATGTCCCGACGTCGCAGGGAAGGGAACCCAGAAGACAGATGCCGGCATCGGCCAGAGGACATTTCCAGGGACACTGCAGGAGGGACATCGCGGGAGCGAAGGACAAGGTAAGTGAAGAAGAGATCCCAGAGCAGCGCTGCAGGGTATTCCAGAGTGTAGCTCAGGGTTACCGCTTGTGGTGCTGAAACTTTACCCCGAGCTACACTCGGGAATAGCGCCAGGGAGGTTAATGTATACAGTATGTCAGGGAAAATAAAAATAAACAAATGCAGTACATCGTGAAAATTATACCTTATGGAGCCGCTCCAAACTATGGATGGAAGGAAAAGGATTAGCCCACCGGCAAGTGAAAAGAGGGGAGCATGAGTCCGAGCGATTCCAGTGTCAACCAATACAAGTGAAGGCATGGACGCTACTCAACCCACCCCAGGAGTCCAATGGTGAGCAATGGCCTCAGCCGCCGTACTGACCACGCCCTGCCCATTTGTCTTTTGCTAAGATACTCAAATCCTCCCACTCTCCTTATTTTTACAACATAGACGCTAATTGTTCTGTAGTTAAAGAAGAACTAGGAGGGCTAATTAAACCCTGTGAGATAATACAGGCAAACAGCGCAGGAAACATGACAGTTCTGAATGTCTGACATAAACAGCTATTTTTTGCATCTATCAAACATATCAGATATAAGAAAATGACTTCAATGGTATATTTAGCAGACCGAGCAAATAGGAAAAGTTAATTTTTAGGGTTTACATGCTCCTTAAGGATTCTTTTTTTAAATTTGTAATCAACATTTCACCATATTTACATGGAAAATCTAGATTTTGACTATTTAATTGTAAACCTGTTCTCTTTTCTTTTTTTTAAATTATTTTTGCAATATTTGGCTTTCATCATTTACAACGATGTCTAAATCATGAAGAGAATTTATGACTGCAATATTTTTTTCATGCAGAGCAGGTAAAGAATAAATTCCATTAAATGATCATGTGTTATTATTTTTCTTTCTCTAGCATTTTACTCCTTTTTAATGTTATTTTTTTTTCTAATAAATCCTTTTGTATTTAATCATGAAACATTCCTTTTATCGAAAGATAGACAGGCTTGAATTCCAGTGATAAATTTGATAGAAATGTCATGTTTTCCCCATTTCTGTCCAATCAAATGTCTAAGGACTTGTGTAGATGGGTATTTATATCAAATATAGTCTTTCCCATTTGACAGCAGGGCATCACATTCAAATTCAAGACAGACAAGAAAAGGCTGGATTAGACCTGCTTTGCCTGCAATGTAAATGCACCTCAAAAGGACCAACTGCATCCAAGCAAATTCAACACAACTTAACGCCCAGGATGAATGTAACCCTCCGCCCCAAATCACTTCCTCCAATCCCTCCAATGTGGTTGCTGGGTAGACAAAAAAAAACCTCTAAACCTCATATTCACTTACCTGAAGCTGCGGACACATTATCTTCCAGGTCCTTTTCCTCACTGATTACTTCCTGAAGGGGTCCTTCATCTGGGTGTCCATATTACTGGCTGTGGGATGTGGATAATTCCCATTGGCTGGCCACCAGATGCAACCTCTCAGGACCCTGAAGAGAGGTGACACTGGATTGATGGGAGTGACTGGTGAGGGTCAACAAACGTCATTGGATTAGCGGTCCGCACTGGAAGAAATGGTGTCAGAGAGGGACCTAGATGGGGATCTCAGGGAAATATAATTAACTTCACCAAGTAAGGAAAACGTAACTCTGGCAAAGATGGGTTAGAGGGGGAAGACGGGAAAGAGGGGCAAAAAATAATTGGGTGGAGTTGGACAAGCATAGACCTTGCAATACTTCATACTCCTGCTGTCCGTATTACAAATCCAAGTGCATGGGTTGGGCCTCACCATAGAAAAAAATAGCTCACCTTGACCTGGCATGGTCCATGCATTGTGGGCAGCCATAATGCTCTGTGTCTGGGCTTGGTGCATACACATAGGGGGTTGGTTTACTAAAGGGAAATCTGTTCACTTTGCATGGGGATTTTCCCCAGAACTTAGTGAATGTAGTGAAACTGATTGATTTTTTTCTTTATTTTCTTTGCTCGTAATTGGGTATTCTTCGCAATATTAAATTTCACCACTTTCATTAAGCTCTGGGGAAACTCCCATGCAAACTGCGAGTTTCCTTGCAAAGTGAACAATCTATTTGATTTTAGTAAGTCAACCCTATGGATTTGGGGTATGGACTGAAACAGTAAGGAATACCGAAAGGCTCAAATACTCCTCACCTTTGGAAAGGCAGTAAAAAGCTACATCTGAGATCTGTCAGATCATTTAGGAATTGACCAAGAGAGTGGGATAATACATGTTAGATATTTTCCAGTTTTGAACATGTTTCCCGAAATAAATGTTGTATTAACAAAATAACTATTTCACCAGTTATATTATTTTGTCATTACTCTTCTTGTTATTTTATTCCTCCCTCATTCAGATAGATACATATTTAATGGATTACTTTACCAATTTATGTCTGCAGAATTAGTACTTTACAGCTGTGCTTTTATCTGATATTTGATAGGTTAGGGAGTGTTTTATATATGACACAAATTATTCAGAAAATACAAAAATGCTAAAAATGTCATTTTGTAATTTCTAGGTGATTAAACAACTAACGCTGACCACACACAATTAAAATTTCAGCCAAGTCCTGCTAAACTGACTGAAATTCGTGCTACAGCAGGCCATGAAAGCACCACCTGACTTGACCAAGCTAGATTTAAAAATTAATATAAAACAGATAGTGCAGCTCTTAAATTACATCAATAAATCCATACATAGTGCAACTCATGTAATAAAGGTGCATAAAAATAAACCATAAATAAATAATGTATAAATCTTTAATTATTTACTATTAAAGTGAACCATTCAAATATTGCACCATTAAAAGTGAAAAAAGTGCTAGTGCAACAATATATAACAGTTCATAAAAATTCCTAATGATCATCAATCTCCACTGTAAGTGCAATGCGATGATGTGAATCCAAATATGTGACCAATCTTCAGTGCAACTTCTCTACCATTATGCACTCACTGAAAAAACAAAAGTATAGAGCCAAATAAACACTCCAGCTAACATGGGCATCTCCTGGTTGCTGCTCAGCCTGGGCAGGATCATTAACTAGAAACGTACTCTATTGGGAAAATGCTCACCAGACGGAGCCATGGGTGCAGTACATAGTGTAGTATTTTTGTATTACCAAATAAAAAGCACATCAAATCCACGTGGAATATAAAAGGACATAATAACATTGTGGCTGGACTTACAAAGATGGCTGCCGATCCCTACAGGGACTCGGCATGACATCAGCACGTAAGCTCCTCCCTGATTACCCCAATAGTTATTGTATCTGATAGAATGAGAATCCTCTTTTTCATGTCTGGTTTTCTAGATTTAAAAGGGTTGAAACTTATTGGATGAATGCTGACCTCATTCTATCAGATGCAGTAACTGTTGGGGTATTCAGGCAGTGCACCTGGATGGGGGAGTCAAATAGGTTTTTCTTTTTCAATCCACAGGCTGAATGATGGAGATCTAGCCATCTATGGATAGCTTAGAGCTGTAAAAGGATAGTAAGGATGAGTTTGATATTATCCCCCTCCCCCGGTTTATTCCATCCATCTTTATGTTTCTTTCTAAAGCATATAGCCAGTCAACAAAGCGGATGGTTGATGTATTAGTAGCGCTTACCCCAAATGGAGCCACCGATGTATGGGTTCCCTGATACCTGGGGGCAACATTGCTTCCAGCAATGCCACACCCTATGACATGCCAAGGCTGGATAAAAAAAATAAACATATGGGTGACATGCCCAGCAAAGCAACAATACTGACAGCAACAGTAAACAGTTACAAACAAAGGCAAAATTATAACGGGGGGTAAAAGTCACACCTGCTAGGTCCTGACCTGCAGGAGAGCCCTAGATATACATAATACCAGTTCAAAGGCTGAAAGTGTCCTTAACCCCTCCCACTGGCCAGTGGTACACCTGATGTTGTCTTGCACCAGGGCCCATGATGATGTTGGAGTAGACATGTACAAAACAAAAAAATTCCTTTTGTTTCATTTCGATTCGAAATATAACAAATTTTGCGTAGTTGGATTCGGTAAATTCGTTCAATTCATTTTCTGGATTTGTTTCGGTAATTCATGTTTGAATTCAATTTGAATCGTTCACATTCAAAATTGATTCAACTGAATTTAAAATTCATTCAACAAAATTTGAAAAGTTGTTCGAAATCGAAAAGATTTCAACCAAATTCGAAAAAATTCAACCAAATTCTAAACGTTAAGCTGGCCATACACGTGTAGATTTGAAAATTAAAAAAAAAAGTCAGCAGCTACTAAAACTGTAGCTGCTGACTTTTAAAAAATGGACACTAACCTGTCCCTCAATCCCGTGGTGTCCCCTCCCATGCAGCCCGTTTCACTGGCTGCCCTGTGTTGCCGGAGCCGGCATCTTCAGTGCGGGCACCCGGCTGTGACAGCATGCGGCTTCACTGCTTACTGCACTGCGTGAGTAGTGCTGGGCTTTGTGAATGGTCTCGTAGTCTTCTGGGACCTGTTACGTGTCCCGGAAGAATATGGGGAGGAAGGGCAACTTCCGCCTCCAATCGCCTAGGCGATCGCAGAGGAAGTGGGAGTGGGTACCTGTCAATTTCGTGTACCCACTCCCCCCTGCTCCCCAAAGGTGCCAATCCTTAAAGGGGAGCAGTGGACCAGTCCTTAGAGCAGAACTTCCCCTTTTGGGTGGAGCTCCACTTTAAATTGGTTTTCTAATGTTTGTTTGATTTTGTTCTCAATTTCGAATTTGTTTTTGAATTTGTTTTGGAATTCGAATTTGTTTTCAAAGGTGTCCAATCACAGCTGATCGCATGTAAATAGGAAAATGCCAGTTATCGGCATTTCTCTCCTCACGAGCTGTCACACTGAGGAGAGGAGAGCTGGTAATCTGCATTTACTCAGTGGGGACATGTACACTGATCATCAGTGTGCCTTGATGATCAGTGTAGCCCCAGCACAGCCACCTGCCAGTGCCCATCAATGCCACCTGCCAGTGCCCATCAATGCCACCTGCCAGTACCCATCAGTGCCACATCAATGCCACATATCAGTGCCTACCAGTGCACATCAATGCCACACATCAGTGCCACATCAATGCTACATATCAGTGCCTACCAGTGCACATCAATGC